ATATACATATACATATATATATTTATATAAAGAGATTAATAATAGTATGTTATGCATTGATAGCAGCAACAGCTTTTCCAGGTTCTGCAGTCATCTGAACATAATTATAGACATTCAACACATTCCATTGAAAACAAAACAAAAGAAAACAAAAAGAAAGAATAATATCCAGAAAACAGCAAAGTTTTGTTGCTGTCGTGGTACCTGGGACTATTTTTTTTTATTAGCATCTTAATCATCATCTGGAAAGAGAAAATTCTAGAGTAATATCCTTAAATGTAGCTCTGATAAAGCATGGTCCCTACTATGTATCATAAAGCAGGTACTAGATATTTTACATTCATAGAGGTATGATACAGTACCGTCCTACATCAATAATACTAGATTCAGTTTTGGTTTGAAATTTACTTTGTGTGCAAATAAGATTGCTACCCCTGTTTTTCTCTGGGTTCCTGTCACATGGAGAATTGTTTTCTATCTTTTCACTTTCAGTCTGTGGGCTTCTTTTTGCACTAGGTGTGTTTCTTATATACAACATATTGTTGGATTTTGCTTCTTATTCCATTTTGCCAGTCTATTTCTCTTGATTGGTGAGTTGAGGCCATTGACATTGCTGGTTATGACTGATATGTACTGACTTATTATTGACATGTTATTGGCCTTTTGTTGACTCTTTTTACTTTTTCACCTTCTCCTTTTAATTTCTTGCCTTGCCTATTTGATTTGCTCTGTTGGGCCTCATGGTGTTGTTGCCTTCATTGTCTTTTTCTAGGATCTTGTTTAGAATTGCTTGTAGTGCTGGTTTGGTATTCATGTAGTTTCTCAGGTGTTCTTTGTCGTGGAAGTGTCTTATTTCCCCATCCATTTTGAAAGAGAGTTTTGCTGGATACATCAGTCTAGGTTGGAGGTTGTTCTCTTTTAGTACTTGAAATATCTCATTCCAGGCTCTCCTTGCCCCAAGGGTTTGTGTTGAAAAGTCTGCTGTGATTCTGATGGGCTTTCCTTTGTATGTGATTTGTTTCTTTTCTCTTACTGCTTGTAGTATTTTGTTCTTCTGTTGGGTTTCTGGGATCTTGATTATTATATGTCTAGGTGTAGATTTTTTTTTATTGTAGCTAGTTGGGGTCCTATATGCCTCAGTTATCTGAATGTCAAATTCTTCCCCTCTGTTTGGGAAGTTTTCTGTCATTAATTCTGCAAACAGCTTTTTTAAGTCATTTGTATTTTCTCCTGCTACTTCATGTATTCCTATCAGTCTTATGTTATTCTTCTTTGCATCATCTAGGAGTTGTTGGATCGATTTCTCATGATCTCTTACTGTTTTTAAGAGACCTCTCTTTTCATGGTCACTGACTGCAATCTTATCTTCTATATCTGAGAGCCTATCTTCGCATTCTTTTATTCTGTTGCGTACACTTTCAATAGAGTGTTTAATCTCCTGGATATCTGTTTGAATCTGTTTTATGGATTCCATTTCTTTCCTATGTTGGGCGTTTATTTTTTCCATTTCTTTCTTATGCTGGGCCTTCATGGCTTCTATCATGGTCCTGAGCTCATCTATTTTTTTGTCAGTTTCTGCTCTAGAGTCTCGAATCACGACTTCCATTTTGCTCACTATCTCTATGGTTATCTGGGAAATTATTTCTGTTTTGAATTTTTCTAGAGCCTGATTGATCTGTTTTGTTACTTCCTGTGCTTTGAGTTCAGGGTGTCCTGGTGGTTCACTATCGGCCTTTTCATCCTCATTTGCCCTACTGTTTGCCATTGGTGAACTGGAAGTCTGTCCTCGTGTCTTTCTTAAGTGTTTTCTCATTTTAATTTTTGTTGTTGGACTGTCCTTGGTTTAATCTCTGGATTATCACCCAAATCTTCCTGATATAGTTGCACCCTAGCTTCTGTGTCTCTAACGACCCACAGACATTCTCATCTTCATAACATCAGAGAAAACAGTTCATCAAATCAACCGCAATGCTTTATTCCAACTGATACAATCAGCAACACATTAAGATCAAGCACAACTTGGACACTGACCACCTGTGGTAGTCACTAGTCTATCACCCTTAAATCATTTGAATTAAATTGAAATCAAGAAGCAGTCCAGAACATGTGTGCAGTGAACAAAATTTCAATATAGTGTATTTACCATTTAATGGCTCAGACAGAGCGAGCATCGAGGATGCAAGACCCCTGATCTCAGTTAGCTGATGGCTGAACCCCATGACGCTGACTGACCTCGGGCTGCAAGGCCCAGATTGAGTTCCCCATCCTTCTGAATGGTTGAACTCCGCAACGTTCTATTACAGGTTTCCCACGCCCTTTCTTTAAAGATGTTCAAAGTTGGGAACTCAGAAAAATACCCTTGATGACCACCTCTGTCTTTGCAGAGTGGGTCCAAAGACTTGCACAGTCAGGAGGTCTGAGAGTGCGGGGGTGGGGGTCATGGGGGTTCAAGGGCGCCCACGCGGCTGCCTTCCCGGTGCTTGAGCGATGGCGGCTGGGTCGGGAGCAGGTGTGGCTCTCCTTCCCGGGGTGGATCGGGGCCCAGCCTACCTCCCGGTGCTTGAGCGATGGTGACTGGGTTGGGAGCAGGCGCAGTCCTCCTTCCCGCGGTGAATCGGGGCCCAGCCTCTATTTGTATGATTTTTAAAGTATGTTCAAAATAACATGATTCCCTTAGGACCGCGCACATAGAATAGGACAGACCAAGACAGTCCGAGTGTTCCGCTTTATAACTGACAACACCGTAGAAGAAAGAATAGTGGAACGTGCCGAGATGAAGCTCAGGCTAGATTCAATTGTCATCCAGCAAGGTGAGCCCAGAACTTCAAAAATTTACTAAGTTTCATTGAAACCACCTTTGTTTTGACCTTGTTGCTTTAAATTTTCTATTGTGTCAAGGTAGCAGCTAACAGATTACCTGTGTTTTGGAAACTAAATGGTAGTTTTATAAGTGAGTTTTGGGCTCTGAAAAGCTGAGGATTGAGGTTAATTCTGACAGCTAGCTGTTGTCTTCCACCACCTGAGCATATTACACCAACTGCCAAGTGCAAGAAAAGTAACCTCTGTTTGGGATTTTTAAAGATTACATGGGATAATATGTATAAAAAGCCTAATGTCCAGCGTGATGCGCATTAAATAGAGCTGTGATGATTAGTCTGGGGGATGTTAAAGAAATACAAATAAAGATCCAGATCTCCTTTTACTTTTTTTTTTCCCAAGTACAACTGTTTATTGTGCAGCTAGCAGATGCCAGCCACTGCTTTTGATCCTTAGAATTACAGTGGTGACTGGAACTGAAAAGTGTTCCTGCTTCAAGGCAGTGTTTATGCTTGTTGGGTGGGGGTGCTCGTGGACTAGAGCATGAGAACAGGAGTTTATTTTTGATTCATTAAAGCAGACATCACATTCTCAGTCCACATCAGCTTTGTAGGAAAGACATAATTTTGACTCCTCTATTTTTGAAAACAAATTATTAGGTTGTCCCCATTATTGCCAATCAAAGATCATCTGTACTTTGTAAATGTGGAGTTTCTAATATGATGAAAGTCTCAAGAGTTTCAATTTTTCAGATCAATACAGTTTCAGAAACTTAGTTTGCAGACAGAGTTTGAGTATATAAAGGTTAGAATATGCTTAGGTGTATTTCACCTGAGAAAAAGCTGCTTTTGGAGGATAAACATCTTTCTGCTTACCATAAACTTCTGTGTTTAGAGTGCTCACATGTTGAAATTTGTGTTTACGCGTGCGCACGCACACACACATATATTTTTTTTTGGTAACAGGGATTGAAATAGGGTCCTTGTGCTTGCAAGGCAGGTGGCGGAACCACTGACCTAAACCCCTGACCCTCCCACCCATAAATTTGATTTTTAAATACCAAGTGTTCCACAAACAAATGCATTTCACTGAGACAATATACAGTTGGTGACATCCCATAAAACAGCCTTAAAAGCATTTCAAAGCTAACTGAACGTTTGGCAATAAATATAATGTAAAAATAAAAAATGACCAGAGGTGATTTTGCTGTACACAGATCATAGAGATGTAAGACAAGGTTACAAAGTACTGCATCTTAACATTTAAGATTGCGTATTTCCATCAAAGTCTGTCTCATTGTGTCTCAAAGAAACACAATTTCTTTTTTAGGGAGGCTTGTAGATCAGAATCTGAACAAAATTGGGAAGGACGAGATGCTTCAAATGATTCGACACGGGGCAACACATGTGTTTGCCTCAAAGGAGAGTGAGATCACTGATGAGGATATTGATGGCATTTTGGAAAGAGGCGCAAAGAAGGTGAGATTAAATGAAAGTGCTTTTAATATGAAATTTTTTAGACCAGAAATCCTTGTTTTATGAATAACACTCCTGTAAACAGCTTTTGTGTGCTATGAATTCTAATTCATTTTCACTGCAGGTCTCCTGCTTTTTGTTATTGTTGTTCTCACTTTAATGATTTCTTTTCTTACACTGTATAGACTGCTGAGATGAATGAAAAGCTCTCCAAAATGGGTGAAAGCTCACTTCGGAATTTTACAATGGATACAGAGTCAAGTGTGTACAACTTTGAAGGAGAAGACTATAGAGAAAAACAAAAGGTATTTTAGAAAGAGGTTTTGATTTTGTGGAAGCTGTGTTTTACTGGAAACTTTTAAACATTCATTGTCACGTCTTACAATTTTATCTCAAATAGCAGTCATTTTTGTTTTTTTGCATCTAAATCTTTTCATTATGTAAAATTAAATGTTGCTTTTTCATTTGGTAAAATCTGAAGTGTTACTACGGTTTATATTATGAAGTTTATTTTTTTTTTTTTTCTTTTTGGTAACGGGGATCGAACTCAGGTCCTTCCGTTTGTGAGCCAGGCGGTGGAACCACTGAACTAAATCCCCGGCACAGAGTGAAGCATTCTTGTATAGGTTGAATATAATAGTTTGGCATATTTGAAAATGAAAATAATTGGCAAAAAAGTTGCCATAAGCTGCTGTATGGTAATAATTAAAAGGAAGATTTCTTAAATTTCATTATACTTAACAATAGAGAGATTGGAACCAGAGTAGTTATGACTTAGACATATGTTTTTTCAGGAGTTTTTCTGGGTTAGGTATATCTGTATTTCCCTCCTTTGGGTGACAACATACGCTGTCTGCAACATTTCAACAGAATTATTCATTTGGACAAGATGGGTTAGAAATGTTATGCTTGTTGGTAGATGCTGTTTTAGGTGTTAATTACATAGTATTGCACAAAATATCAGTCTTACTCTTGTAGAGTGCACAGTCCAGGATTCTGTCAATATATTTCATTTGCTAACATCATTCTTACTTATGATTTGTTACTCTGTGGAATAAAAGTTGGTGATTTTAATTGTTTCCCACGTTAGATTGCATTCACTGAGTGGATTGAGCCACCCAAACGAGAGAGAAAAGCTAACTACGCTGTGGATGCATATTTCAGAGAAGCGCTTCGTGTTAGTGAACCTAAAGCACCCAAAGTGAGTTGAAGTAGTACAGAAATGTCTAAAGCTTCTAAAAATGTAACTGTTAGAAGCGTTTTTATAACAATATAAAATTGTGTTACTGTATTTTGCATGTTGGTACCTATATCTTCAGTTTAAAGATTTACATTTAAAATCTGATTAGACAATTCACTTCTGTTGAAAGATGCATTCAGTTGCTTTGAGAATTGGCTGTTACGGGCTCATCAGATGAGAGCTAGAAAGAGATTTTTATTTTATTTTAATTAAATATTGTTACCATATTTTTAAAAAATAGATGACCTTTTAAAATTTATCTTTAGGCTCCTCGGCCTCCAAAACAACCCAATGTTCAGGATTTTCAGTTTTTCCCCCCGCGCTTATTTGAATTACTGGAAAAGGAAATTCTGTATTACAGAAAAACTATTGGGTACAAGGTAATTGAAATTATCTACTTTCTGTCCTTTTCTAGTCAGAAACTGTAACAGGAAGATGTTATTAATTATTTTATTTCAGTCTAGTAGAAAAGAATACTTACCATACCTAGTGGTGTATTGTTTAGTATATAAACTTTTGACTTCATCTTCAGTACAATGAAAGAAAAAAACTTCATGACTACCTTTTTTAAAATGTACTAAAATGCAGGTGTCAGTATATGTTCTTTCATGGTGGATTGAAACTTGAGCAATATAGTATAGTACCAGTTAGTTGGTTAGGAATGTAACTTATCTCGTGCCGTTTCAATGTACTGATTAATGGCATAGGAAAATATCTCTTAGGTACCTCGAAGTCCTGATCTTCCTAATGCAGCACAGGCACAGAAAGAAGAACAGCTTAAAATTGATGAAGCGGAACCCCTTAATGATGAGGAACTAGAGGAAAAAGAGAAGCTTCTAACACAGGTATAGTCTCAGCACCAAATTCAGTCCGTTCTTTTGTCAGCAGTGTGCTGTGTTGTGCTGGGGTATACAGAATACAGTTTCCCACACGGAGTGACAGACTGGTTGGAGATGGTAGAGCGTGGATAAATCGTACATTTGGGTTATCACCAGTTGAGAAGGTTATAGGTCTACCTTTGCTTGTGTGCACCTTATGTCAGCGTTCCCATCTTTCCTAAGTTACCATTCTCCATTATAAATCTCTGCTTGGTATATTTTGTTTTTTGTCTTTATGAGACAGGGTCTGTGTAGTTCAGGGTGGCCATGAAAGACTCACTGGCACAGACTGGTCTCAGATATGCAGGGGTCCTTCTGCCTCAGCCTCCCAAGTGCTGAGATTATAGATGTGCACCCCCATACCCAGCTCTCTGGGGTACTTTGAAAGCATTCTCTTATATTCATTCAAGGTCTTTAGAATCTGTCCTTTAACCTGCCTTTAGAGCTTTGCCTTTTTATTTTCTCACTTGTTCATCGTTGTTCTCTCTTCACTCTTCATAACTAATTCCTGTTAATCCTTCAAAGATTAGCAAAAGCTTTTCATGCAGCATTCTTCCCCATCAGAGCTGCTTGCTTGGTTGTTGAAGCAGAGTATATTATTTTATTCAGTTTGTACATGGGAGGTAACCACTCTAAAGTGCTGCAGCCAGATACTCAGAAACCTGTGTAAAATGTAATGACAGTTTTTCCCCAAAATTTTCTGTTTCTTCATAGGGATTTACCAATTGGAATAAGAGAGACTTTAACCAGTTTATTAAAGCTAATGAGAAGTGGGGTCGTGATGATATTGAAAATATAGCAAGGGAAGTGGAAGGAAAAACTCCAGAAGAAGTCATTGAATATTCAGGTAATCCTTTTATCATTTAATACGTAAGTTGTCAGGCTTTCACAGAGCTATGGAAGCTTCTTGTTTTCTTAGTCTGTATTTTGGTTAGCTAAATTTTTGCACGACATCGTGTCTTGTTATATGCTTTTAAAAACAGATTAGAAGGTCTGAGGATGTAGCTCAGAGGTGCAAGCACAAGGTTCTGAGTCCGATCCCCAGTACCGAGGGAAGAAAAAAGAAAATTAAAAACAAGTTAGAACACATCCGTAAAATTACATAATTTGAAATATTTTTATTGAGTTTATTGGTACATTTTAGGTATACAGTACAGTTACATTAATTATTGGGATCTTGTACCTTTGAAAAATTTCTTTTCTTTTTTCTTTTTTTTTTTTTGGTGAGGCAATGTCTTGGTTAAGTTTCCCAGGCTGTTTTCAAACTTGATCTTCTTGTCTGTAATTCCAGCAAGACAGGAGGCTGAGACAGGAAGATGCTAAGGCCTGGCTTTCTTTTTTTTTTTTTTAATGCTAGCTATAAGAGGTCCTGGAATAATTGTTTTGATTTTTATTTCATTTCTCTCCATCAGTTCTCAACTGTTGGTGTGTTTGTATTTCCTTTTTAGTTGAATATGTATATTTATTTTGTGGTTGAGTCTGCCTGGAATTTCATAACAAATTTTAAGAGTTGGTAGATAAATTATTCAGTACATCTTAGATTCTTATATTTTAGGCAATTGGAAAATTAAAAGTGACTTATTACTTTCTAGTATTAAATGTAGGTTAAATGGGAATGTTTCTTAATCCTCAGCAAGTAAACTACAGCACACACATTCAGAATTACTTGTATTTACACCCTTCCTCCTCTCATCCCACCTGTCCACCTTTCACTGTTTCCTAGCTGTGTTCTGGGAGAGATGCAATGAGCTCCAGGACATAGAGAAGATAATGGCACAGATTGAAAGGGGAGAGGCCAGAATTCAAAGAAGGATAAGCATCAAAAAAGCACTTGATACGAAGGTACTTTGTGTATTAATAAATGTTAGTTAACATATCTCCTGTCATTAGAGAGTTTTTTTAAAGGAAAGGAAATGGGGTTTAAAATTCAAAGTTTCTTCAAAGAAAAACATTGAAGAGTTGTGAATGTTGTCAGGATGGTTCACTTGTGTCTGGCTTACCACGACCAGGTGCTGGGGTTAGCTTGTGACTGGACCTTTGAGTCTGCTCTTGTGATAATCACGAAGAATGTAAAGATCTCATAGGACAGGGTTATAGAATGCAGTTGAGGTTATCTGGATAAAACATTCTCTCTTACAGTACAACTTTAATACCATAATTACAGTAAAACTGAGTTTGAAGCAGCTTATGTAGAATTTGTATTTCATACAATATCTGACTTACAGATTGGACGGTACAAAGCACCTTTTCATCAACTTCGAATATCATATGGTACTAACAAGGGCAAAAACTACACCGAGGAGGAGGATCGTTTTCTGATTTGCATGCTTCACAAGCTTGGATTTGACAAGGAGAATGTCTACGATGAACTGCGGCAGTGCATCCGCAACTCCCCTCAGTTCAGGTTTGACTGGTTTCTGAAGTCCAGAACTGCAATGGTGAGTGTGCTGGGTCTTCTGCGTGACGTAGCAGAGTTCAGACTGAGACATTTGGGATTTGTTTTGTTTTGAGCGTCGAATTCAGGGCATCATGCTAGACACTCTGATAATAATGTTAATCAGGTTCTGAAAGAAAAGGTCAACATACTTCCGACTTTTGAACATGATGACTCTTGGGTTTGCAAATGAACAAGTAGAGAAAACTACTTTACATTCAGACACATGTACATCAGAATGCTGAATCTGAGTTATGTTTAAATGGCTAAAGGTATGAAAATAATACTTTTTGTACCAATTTAATGTTAGGCCTTGTTTTTGTTCTTCGTATCTGGTTGTTTCAGACCAAAGATCTTCATTTTTGACAACCTAAAATTAGAATTCAGAAAAGCATATAGATTTGCTCCATATTTCCTTACCTTTGAAGTTGTAGTTTCAGCTTATGCTCTGCATGATGATGAGATGTGAAAAACTTCTCTAGTTTGTTCTCTGCTGGGTTAAGCATAGTTTTAATACCTCAGGTTTCAAAGTAAGATCTTGGGTGCACTTGGAGTATAATCTTACAGTGCATAACAGTGGGTAGAGTGTTTCCATAGTTGCTCACTGAGAAAAATTTTTCAGAAGGGAAAACATCATATGAATATATAGGTAGATGAATGATAGATTGAGTTGTTGTGAGTTCTATATCTCTTTAAAAAGAATCAGTTTATTTAGTTCCTAAGGAGTATTAATTTTTTAGAGACTGTATAACAAAGTTATACAGGTGGGCGAGGTGGCATATACCTGTAATCCTAGCACTTGGATGGCTGAGGATCACTGCGAGATTGAGGCCAAGCCTGGGCTACTTAATGAGGGCCTGTCTCAAATCCCACCCCCCCCAAAAAAAAGAGAGAGATGGTGTCACTTACTGTACACAATACAAGTATAAAATTGGGTTACTTCCTAATGTGTTAAGACACACAAAAACATCTTAATACACATGTTGCTGTGGTGATACTGGGGGCATAGTACTCATCCAGGAGCCAGCAGGATTCAAACCTTCTGTTGATGGTATCCACGCCACTGTACAGTTGAGAAGGGAGAGGGAACTTTGATGTTCTTACCTTCTGTCTGTGTGTTGCTATCAATATTTGTGTTGTGTATTCTCTAAAGGATTTTTAAATGACTGTGGGATGTGTGTCTGTAGGGATTTTACTTATTTTAAAGTGAAAGAAACACTTTTGCCTTGTAAGGATCAGAGCTGCCAGCCAAAAGTGCTGAGGGTGGATTTCTGTTTCGTATGGAAGTTCTAGATGATTGTGATCCTCAGATGTACGTCTTACTAATTTAAAAGAATGTTTTGGTTACAAATTGTAGGGAGTTCTCAGGCACAGACAGTGACTGTCATTCCTAAAAGAAGGGTAAGTATTTATGAAGAGTGTGCAACAGTATGGTTTTAATGAATGAAGTCGAAATGTGAAATAACTTTTTAAAAAATCCTAATGCCATGGATTGTATATAAGTAAGTTATTTTGTTTGTCTTAAAGGGGATATATGAGTGATTTTATGTTCTCTCCTGAAACACAGCTTTGTTTAAAAGTTGAACCTGCAGGCTTAAGGTCCTGATTTCGATCCCTGGTACCAAAACAAAAAATCAAACAAACAGCTGGGCGTGGTGGCGCACGCCTGTAATCCCAGCACTTGGGAGGCTGAGGCAGGAGGATCACTGTGAGTTTGAGACCAACCTGGGCTACATAGTGAGTTCCAGGTCAGTCTCAACTATGTAGTGAGACCTTGTCTCAAAAAAACAAAAAATACAAAAAACCAAAAACACAACAAAAAATTAAACAAAAGTTGAAACCATGACAACTTATGGATGGAAAATACAAGTTTATTATGTCCATTTATGTTTACGTTTGTGACTCAGGAGCTCCAGAGGCGATGTAATACCTTAATTACATTGATTGAAAGAGAAAACATGGAACTAGAAGAGAAGGAGAAGGCAGAGAAAAAGAAACGAGGACCAAAGCCTTCAGTACGTATTGTGAACATGCACATGGGCAGATCCTGTCACTTTCACTTTTTTGCTTTAAGGACATGACTTGGCTATTGGTATGCGTGGTGGGTTTGTTTTGTTTTTGTAAATAATATACTTGAGTTGCTGAAAGTCCTCTAAAAATGTAACTTGATTGCATTAGGAAGCCATGTTTTAGTAAGGGTTTCTAAAAATCTGGGGAGGTACGTATCATGAATACCAAGAGTGCACAGTTTTGTGAGTGTAAGTCATTTTAGACTAACTTAAGGAATATTGGAAAAGCAGTGGTGCTACCACCTTAACTATTAGCTTCTAAGCTTTGGTTTATTGTGCTAATGATGTCTTAGCTATGGAAAGGGAAGCATTTAAAGGAGAATAAAGTTAGCTTGTTATTTCGTGGTACACATTATTTGGGTTTGTTTTGAAATAATTATGTATTCTGGGAGAAAAATACTACTGTATTATGAAGCAGTTATTGCTAAAATGCTATGCTGTGTTTGTGAGTTTGTCATGTTTGCATTAGTTTTATCATGAAAAGAAATCTTTCTGCTTGATTTGTAGACACAGAAGCGTAAAATGGATGGAGCACCTGATGGTAGAGGAAGAAAAAAGAAGCTGAAACTATGAATGCGTATTTGTTTCATTATCACTAACTTTAAAGCAGTAGTTCTTTAATTTACGGGTCTTCATAAGATGTACTGTACAATGCTCAATTGTTATGTCATTCAAAGACATCAGGTTCATCTGTTTATTGAGCTAGAAATATAGTATGTACTTTCACTTTTTTAAATGGAACAGCTGTGCTGAAATTTTTTTTATCATTAACACTTGAAGTAATAAAATAGGCTTCATTTATTAATAAATGTTTCATTTGATTTATTTTTCTATTACAGTTCCGTTTGTGAACATTGTGACTTTTTATCAGCCACCATTTTTAACACTCGTAAGGCTTAAAAACAAGTAAATTGCAAATAACAGTTGTCCTTTCAGTCTTCATTAGTTGTGTAATTGTTTCAATCCATTTTGCCTTTGCAGGAATTTGGATATTTTCTTTGTAGTACTGTTGAGTCTCATCTGGAAAGATTATGTAAATTAAATTCTTCTTTACTAATAGAATGGGGAAAAGGCAGACAAATTATCATTAATTTCTATGCACATTTCTGTTTTGCTTTCTATTTCTTTGGTTCTTTTTGAAATGAATATGCCCTATTATGTTGGAAGAATGGCCTTTTAGTTGTGATAGTCAAAGACATGTATTTTCTGGTTCTTTAAGGTGTTAAACCATTTGTAAAAGGAATTTTTAAAAGATGTGGTAAATATTTTGACAGTGACCTTAAGCAGCCACAATTTGGAAGGATGACAGAACTAAAGGGATTTTTTTTTTCCTATAGGAAGACCCAGCCAAAAATAAGGTTTGAATTTGTCATACTATTAAAATTGATAACTTATATCCCTTCCTGGTTTACAGTATTTTTGAGTTAATAGAATAAAGGAAACTTTTATTTTATTATATTTTAAAATAATTTCTAAATATTAGCTAGATGAGTATAATTCCAGTTTTTTATTTTCTATGGAACAGATAAGATAAACTGGAGACCCAGAAGCAGGAATACCCAAATTGTAGTGTCAGGATTTTAGCTGTACCGGAAGCCTTTCATGTGCTACACATAATTTGTATAGAGTTTTATATGTGCAAATTGGGTCCGCAAACAGTTCTCCATTTTTCTAAGGGAATGCGATAAATGTAGCTTCGTGAATGAATATCTTTTATAATGCTTAAAGTGGTCTTTTGCATTTCTCTAATTTTTTTTCTCACTTAGAATTCTTCAGTTTTTCCCTTTGGACATTATCTGTTAGATTTCTTACTCTTCAATTTCTGCTTTAGTCTGCATACATGTAATTGAAAATTCAGACTTGGTAGTATTAACATTGCAATTTTCTGAAGGGTGGGATTGCTGTGGTTAATGTGAAACAAAATGCAGTCTTTATGGTACGCTGTAGACTAGTTTGAATTTTCTCCATACTCCTCTCAAAATCGACTTCTGTGCAATGCTGGGTTCTTTAATACCATTGTGACTTCATTTTAGAAAAAGTAATTGAAAAATAATCAAAACTTCATGGAAGTTGTTTAAAGTGATGTTTTTTCAGAATAGAAATTGGGAGGAGGTACACAGTAGAGATGCGAACTGAATCGAGTACACTGCTAGTTCTTGAGAGTTTGAAGACTTCCATAAATATAAAAGAAATGTACAGAGAGAGAGTGACTTGAGGAAAATGTGAGTAATACCCCGCTAGACTTTGCACGTTAGCTAGTGCTGCACTGTGTTTGTCGGGGTCAGTTTGCACAATGTACTGCATGTTCATCTAGAATGAAGTAAAGCCCCGCTTTTGTTTACTACTAATTAAGGGAAAGAAAAATAGTCAGCTCAAACTGTCAGCTGTCTTCAAAGAGATCGGTGGTAAGGATAGCCACAGAATTGGACCCTGTTCCAAGCTGATACTGTCTGAAGCCAGCCAACAGCAGTTCTTACATGGGTGATCAGGGTCCCTGTAGCCTTTTACCCGGAATGTCCCATGTACTCCCTGAGGAAAGTTTATTTATGTTAGGAAGGTAAAGCCTGCCCATATATGAACTGGAAGTTAATTTAAATGTTAAAACCTAACCTGTGCCTCCATCCCCCAAGATAAAGGAAAAACTTCTAATTACTCTTAAGGCACTTCACATAGTGGGTTTAAAATGTGCTGCTTATAAGCAGTGCTTAAGTACACTTAAAGTGGTACATGGTGTAGGTATAGATAGCAGAAATGCTCGTCATTATATGCATATGACAAAACCAATTACCCGTTTGTTGCTGTGTTACAGTAACCAAGTAGAATCCCATGGATCTGTATTCCTTAGTTCACATGTAATATTTTAAGGAATATTAATAATTGACATCCTGAGAAGCATGGTCCGCTTAATACTTTACAACTTTTTTCTAGTTCATTATTTGGGAATGAATTGAATACACAAACTCAAGTGTAGTAGTAGTTGAAAGACTGTGAAAAGGTTGAATTGAGTACAAAATAATGCCCTTGATAGGGAAAACTTATACATAGCAAAAATGTATAAAGTGCTACAATGTAAAATGGCTTCTGCTGTCTCTAACAGCAGTTTGTTTTACTCTGAACTAATAGGCACCACAGGCACTAATTGCTGAATGGGTCGCATTTGGTCTTACCCTGAAATAACTGGGCACATCAAGACCTTGAGCTCCAATGAGACTGGAGCCACATGATCGTAAGAGTGTCTAAATGAAAGAACCCATTGCTAACATTTACTCCCCTGACCCTGAACACCCCCTTCCTATGGGCTAGAATAGATAACTAGGTGAATCTTAAAGGTAAACTCCCCAACTGCAAAGAACTGTTACATCTGGGTTGAGAAGATTAACTATTCTGTGACCGTGATTTGAACTGTGAGAATGAAATGTAACCACCCAAGTGAAGTCAAGGCTGTGAAACCCTGTAAAGGGAGGAGTTGTAACCCATTGTGGCATCGATCCAGGCACGGATTATGTGTGATTGACCCTTATCGATAAGTAAATTTGTTATTTTACTTCCATTCTGCTGCCTCTGTGTGTCACTTACTGATTCTTTCTGTAACACCCTCATTTCTGGCACAGAACACAGTTGTTCTTACTGTTCGTATTCTAAAGGAAGGAGCAGTCCAGTTTATCTGTACCTAGAGCACGGGGCGCTGCACACATTGGTACAAAATCAGTGTTCCTCTAGCAAAGGAAATGAAAGACTACTTTGAAGACTACAGCACTGAAAAAGGAATGAGTTTTGGAGTGTTGCTTTCCTTTTGATATCATAAGAGTTTGAGGAGTTATGGCATTAAATCTCTAAATTTCTCGAATTTAGCAGTGAATCCATCAGGACCTGGGCTTTTCTTTGTTGGTAGATTTTTTCCTTCAGAATTTAGTTGTATATATTTAAATTTACATGCATACATCCACATGCACACGCATCCATCCATCCATCCATACACAGGTGTTCAAATTCTTGATACTTCCGTACAATTTGAATACCTATGTGTATTCTAGTTGTAACCATGTACATAATACAAAACATGAGCAGACATACACATGTAGACAAATAGTTCTGTAGCTTGAATATGGTGGTTTCATAAATCTACAAGTGATAAGATGGCTCAGAACTATACCCGTGTATTGAACTGCAGTTAGTTTCCTTTTGGTTGTATTAACACTGCAGGCAATGAAACATTACAGTATTGGTGGTGGAAATTGGGTAAAGGATCTTTATTGGTAGGTTTTTTTTTTTTGGTACCAGGTATTGAACTCAGGACCTTGTGTTTTCGAGGCAGGTGGCGGAACCACTGAGCTAAATCCCTAGTCCCTTTATTGATAGTTTTAATTCAAAGTCATTGGCTGATAGTGGGTTAGAAATTTTATATTGATTCAGCTTTGGTTAATTCATATGTGTCCATTTCGGTGTTTTTCATCTCATTAGAGCACAGGTTCTTGAAGTAGGTATCGGTGATCTGGATTTCTGCAAGTTCTCTTGTGATTTTTCATTTCTAATCCCATGGATTTGTCTTTTTTGTTGTTAAGGTTGTGTCTTGCTGCTGAGACAAAGTACCCTACATTCAAAGTTAAAGGAGGAAGGCTTTTGTAAGGCTCACAGTTTGTGGAAGTTTCAGTCTAAAATCACCTGGCTCCAAGTCCAGAATCACAGAGGAGAAATGGTTCATGGTGAACAGAAGGTAGCAAAAGAAACAAGGGAATTTAACGGCATCTTTCTTCCTCTTTTATCTTATGCTGGGCAGCACTCACACCCTTAATCCTAGTGCCTTTGAACCTAGCATTGCACCATGAATCAATTCCAGCATCACACACTCCAGATCCAGCCACCACTTGAAATGCCCCATCTATGACTTCATGAATCTTTGGGGGAGATATCTAGAGCTTGCATAAGGGGTTGTCCTTTCAAAGGATCAATTCTTTGATTCATTGATTCCTTGTATTGTTTCCTTAGTCTCAATTGCTTAATTTCGGATCTGACCTTTTTTATAATTTTCTCCCTCATTCGAGGTTTGGGATTGACTTGCTCTTTTTCTAGAAGCTTGCGGTTCAACATTAGGCTATTTGAGCTTGCTGTTTTTCTCATATGGGAATTCACTGCTATACATTTCTTTTGTATGACTGCATTGTGTCTCACAAATTCTGGTATGTCAAATATAGTATTATTGTTTAATTGTAGAAACTTAATTTTGTCTGAGACCCATTGGTTGTTCAGGAGGGTGTTATTTAATTTCCATGTGTTTATGGAATTTTTGTGGTTTCTTTTGCCATTGATTTGCAGTTTCATTGCACTATGATCTGGTAATATGCATGGCATAATTTTAGTTCCTTTGCATTTACTTAAGCATGTTCTATGGGCTAATATGTGATCTCTTTTGGAGAATGTGTATTCTGATGTTGTGGGCTAGATATGTGCTAAGTCCATTTGGTCAAACATTTATTTTAGCCCTGATACTTCTTTGTTGAATTTTTATCTAGTTGATGTATTTCTGACAGTGGGGTATTCGGTCCTCCATTACAATTGCAATAGTGCTTATTTGATTTTTTATATCTATAATATTTGTTTTATGTAGTTGGGGTGCTAGTATTTGGTGCATATATATTTAGGATTCTTATCTCTTCCTGTTGAATTATTCCCTTAAGTGTGTAGTGACCTCCTTTGTCTCTTTTCATCAGTCTTGGCTTGAAATCCTTTTTGTCTGTAAATAGACTAGCTGCCTTTGC